TGTTGATCCTGTGAGTGGAGGTCCCGTCTGGGGTTTTAAGGGGAAATGAGACTTTTAATGTATTCTGGGGCTTGGCCATGAAGAGCTCTTAAGGTGAGGACAAGGATTTTGAACCGGATTCTGAACTGAACCTGATGTAGTAACCGAATGTAAAATTTATTTAGTTTGTAGAACAATCTATTATGCATTTATAGATACAGAATAGATTGTTCTGTGGGATTCTCAGCTACTTTGTTACTACATTTTTCTTTAGAATTTATTAGCCTTTATTTCCCCACGGAGGGGAAATTAATTATCTGCATTTTACCCATCACACCTGTGAACACACGTGGAGCAGTGGGCTGCCAATTGCAGCGCCCAGGGAGCAGCTGAGTGCGCCTTGCTCAAGGGCCCTGGTTGGTTTGGGGAGTTGAACCGGCRACCTTCCAATCACAGTCTCATCTTCTCTAACCTCTGCGCCACCACTCCCTAAAGTGTATTGTGGCACAGAGAATGTTTTGTGATAAAAATAACATATGCAGGCAGGACTAACTACTGATGCTCAGTGTGTAAATAGAAAAACAAAATAAGGAAGTTTCATTTATGATCTCAGATAAAGTTCAGGTTAATGTCTGGTTTTTAGTGTTCTACCCTAATAAAATTCTGATTTAAGAATTTAGTAAAATGCTCTTCAAATGGCTGGAAAATGCAGAGGTTTGAATAGATTTTTACACGATTTTCTTGTGGAGTATACCCTGGACCCCCCTAGAACTGCTTCAGTCCACAGCAGCTCATTAATATGAACAGGTGTTTCTCATTGCTGTCAGTAAATATTGGCAGGCACGAGGTAGTTCTTTGGTAWTCTAAAATGAAATGAACTGTATTGTTAACTATTTTAATTGGACAACCTGGTTTCTAAAAATAATAAAAATATTAAGACAAAACTATTTAATTTGGCATGCAAACGTATGTAAAATGACAGTGAGATTTAGATTTTTTTTGTTTTGTTTTTCAGAGTGTGCTACCTGTGTTAGGCTGGCCTTGCTGGCCTGACCGGGCTGACTCTGAGCCATCCTGGGACTGCACCTCGATMAGGTAGGACGCTTTCTGCTCGCGGTCAAAAGAGGCCTGGGTCACGATGACGCCGCTGCGTGAGTCGATGCTGAAGTATTGAGAATCTCCGCTCTCATCCTTCAGAATCACATAATGGATCTGAAAAAAAAAAAATCAGAGAAGAGCTGAAGAACAGAACAAAGAGAAGAAGTTAAATTTGACTTTTACAGTGAGAGGAGCTGCGTCCTACCATCCCGTGCAGACCAGAGTCGAGATCCGTCGCTGACACCTGAGCTACGGACGTCCCGATTTCTGCTCCTTCAGGAACCGTGGCCTCGTAGGTGGAYGACAGGAAGAATGGAACGTTGTCGTTGACGTCTGATTACAGAAAATGATGGAGCGCATCAATTAAAACACGTTTTCTGTTTTCATAAATGCCATGACTTTTGTCGATGGCAGGAACTGTCAAGTCTGTAAAAGCCGATTAAAACCGATTTAAAGAAACCGAAAAAAATAAACAATGCAAAAAAACAGCTTTTATAAAAATAATTTTGCTTTTTGCAACAATTATACCTACAAGAAACATTAAACAGTGGAGGAGAAACCCCGAAAAACAGAGGAAGAAAAAGTCTTTTGCCTAAAGTCCATCAAAAAGGAAAGATGAACTCAATGAAAATTGAGCTATTAGCAGGGAATTATCCTCCAAACACCCTGAAGTGTCCACAAAGAAGCTTGTCGGCTCACTTTCAAGCTCGACTAAGCCAATTAGAACATCCAGTGTGGGTTTGTTCAAAGCCAATCAAAGTCAGGAAGTGTTTTCGCCTCTTTACTTCCCTCCTCTCGCCTTCAGAAGCTGATGGAAAAATGAGTCACTTTTAAAACAAGGTGGCGTCGCGCTCACACCACCAGCTGCTGATGTTTTTGTCTATTCTTTCCCTGACAGAAACCAACAGGACTTCAAATTAAACCTCGTTCCTCTCTTTGCTCATCGTTTTCCAGCGCTCATTACGACTGTTTGTGTTCTGCTCAGCTGGATCTTTTACCTCTGCTCATCAAAGGTAAACGGTGACTTTTTACATTTTAGTGAATCTGCTGTCAGTTTAAAATTGTTACAATGAAAGACAGGAACAAATAACAGATTCTGGTATTCAAATATCCCYACTGAAAAAGATGATATGAAATAAAATGAAAAGAAACATATGAATGCGCACTGTAAGCAGAGAAACCTAACCCAGAATAAACAAGGCATCCATTATTTTAAAAGAAAACCAAGCTTCATTGACTATCCTATTGTTATGAATTTATTGTGTGGTCAGGGGTTCGTAACCTTTCCGACCTCGGGGCCCAATTTGTTGAACATAAAGTGGCACGAGGTCCAGTCAGATATTACCAATGTATGGATCAAAATGATAATTATTCTAAATCTTGGTTTAATTAGGGGTCCAAGCCCGAGGAAGCAGGGTAACGCAGCTGCAAAGCAGCAGCGTTTCCATGTCTCCATCGGAGCATGGAACCCTATTGTATC